GTAGTAGTAGTAATTAATTTTCGAATTGAACTTTTTCAAACGCACGAAATTACACTTCGCTTATGAAAATTATCCCCTAGATTTCCTACTTATTCCTACGTACATTCCTACCTGACAAGCTCCTTCTGACTTCCGAACCATGGTGACATCCCCTTCAGAAGGGGAAAATCCTCCTCCCTGGCTCCATTCAAGCAGCAACCAAGCATTATAAACAAGACTATTCCAAGCATATCAACCTCCCCCAGCTGCCTGCAGTTTGCCCCAGCTGGATCCATCCATTCCCTGTCCCTCCGGAAGCACCAAGTGGTGTTGTCTTCTGGTGTTGAAGATGTTGTTCCGACATTTGTGCTGGAATGCAATAACGCCAACCCCAGCCCCCAGTATTCAACCAAGACCTTTTCTTTGAAGAACAACGCCTGGAGTATATGCTATATCATACATCATACTCAGTTTTAAAGAAGATTCCCCAGCATCTCCATGCAGTTCCAGTACTTTACGGACTGGAAGAAGATTACGGACACAACGTTGTTGTCATTGTTTCCGGCATTCGTGCTGGAATGCAATAACACCAACCCCAGCCCCCAGTATTCAACCAAGACCTTTTCTTTGAAGAACAACGCCTGGAGTATATGCTATAGCATACATCATACTCAGTTTTAAAGAAGATTCCCAAGCATCTCCATGCAGTTCCAGTATTTTATGGACCGAATGAGTTTTCCGGTCAGTTTGTTGTTGTTTCCAACATTTGTGCCAGGGTCAGTTTGTTGTTGTTTCCAACATTTGTGCCAGAATGCAACAACACCAACCCAAGCCCCCAGTATTCAACCAACACATGTTGAAGAACAAAGCCTGGAGTATATGCTACATCATACTCAGTTTTAAAGAAGATTCCCCAGCATCTCCATGCAGTTCCAGTATTCTACAGACCGGAAGAGCTTTCCAGTCAGTTTGTTGTTGTTTCTGACATTCGTGCCGGAATGCACTAACACCAAACCCACCCAAGTTGATACTCTATTATTCTCCAGCTGAGTGCAGTTGTCTCAGCTGGATCCATCCCCAGTTCTCAAGGACCGGAAGCATCAGCAGCGTTTTCCGGTCACAATTGTTGTTGGTTCCGACATTCGTGCTGGAATGCAACAACACCAACCCCAGCCCCCAGTATTCAACCAAGACCTTTCCTTTGAAGAACAACGCCTGGAGTATATGCTACATCATACTCAGTTTTAAAGAAGATTCCTCAGCGTCTCCATGCAGTTCCAGTATCAGTTCCAGTATTTTACGGACCGGAAGAAGATTCCGGACACGACGTTGTTGTTGTTTTTTCCGGCATCCGTGCTGGAATGCAATAACACCAACTCCACCCAGTATTCAACCATGAGCTAGTTAGGAACAACGCCTGGAGTATATGCTATAGCATACATCATACTCAGTTTTAAAGAAGATTCCCCAGCATCTCCATGCAGTTCCTACAGACCAGAAGAGTTTTCCGGTCACGATTGTTGTTGTTTCCGGCACTACTGTTGGAATGCAATAACACCAACCCCAGCCCCAGTATTCAACCAAGACCTACTGAAGAACAACGCCTGGAGTATATGCTACATCATACTCAGTTTTTACAAGATTCCCCAGCATCTCCATGCAGTTACAGTATTTTACRGACTGGCCAAGTTTTCCAGTCAGGTTGTTGTTGGTTCCGACATTCRGGCAACAACACAACCCCTGTTACTCCAGCTTCCTCAGCTGGATCCTTCCCCAGTTCTCAAGGACCAGAAGCCCCAGTGCTTTCCGGTCACAATTGCTGTTGTTTCCAACCTCCGTGCCAGAAAGCAACAGCACAATTGTTGTTGTTCCTGTTATGTGGACAGTAACAACAACACCCCCAGTATTTGACCTCGTGACCAGTGGTTACAGAGCCTCCTGACCAGGGGTGACAGGGTTTTKGGGATTATTATCAGTTTCTTCTTCAAGAAGATACTCAAACAGCTGCTTCT